ACTGCCAATGGGTTGTTAATTTCTTCAATAGACCGTGGCGTATTTTTGCTGACATGAATAATTCCGAAAATATAATTTATTTACTTGATCGTATTGAGTTTTAATGCTCTCACTGCGAGTTTACTTTTTATAATCACTATCTTGAGGATGAGTGCGAACTATTTACCTAATCTGTACAAAATTACTCTCTACTTAACTAGATTCATTTTTGTGAAAGGCTATTTTCGTTAAATTATGATATAATGTTTGGTTTTGCAGTTAGTTGAAATACAATTTGTTTCTGTTTGTTGTTATAAATATTAGACGCTATATTACTAAAAACATGCATATCGTGCTCTAATTGGCGTCCGTATTGTGACCTACGCACATTGAGAACTTTCCACGCTTATGCTTGCTTGCATTTAAGTTTCTTTGGTTATATTTAGTAACTTAGGTAAATAAACTTTTGTAAGTTGATTAATGTATATTTGACATGGACGTTTAACGGAGTATTTACCCATATACGGACATAAAAATATCCTAAAATATTCACACTAAGTTTTATTTGACGTCCACTTCTTCGATATCCGATGTCCAAAGTTGTGGTTGACTATTGCATTTTACTATTTATTTATCTTGATTATTTATTTAGTGCTCAAGGCATATTTTGGTATTTTTATCGGTTTTATACTGTACTCAGTGCTAGTAGATAATTTTACTTTCCAATTTGTTTTCGTGTCCTTATATTTAGCTTCATATAATAATATGGACGTCCGAATATCCTAAAACATTCATACTGAATGATATTTCACGTCCATATTTTTATATTTTATTTTATATTATTTATAAGTATTTTATTTTATTTTATATTTTTGAATTTTGTTATATTTCTATATGTAGACGTCAGATTATCGGTAAAGTTTCATACCGCACGATATTTGACGTCCATATAACCATGAATATATTTATATTTTAATTTCTTGTGTATAAGACACACATTAATGATCAATTCTTTAATGACATTTTTCGCTACTACTTTATTTTTATTTTAGTGTAGGGAGCCCATGCGGTATGAAATGGTCACTTTGATGTTTCATAAAATGCTCCATTCTAGGAACAATAAAACGCTTAGAAAACCTTTCTTATTTCTTTTTTGACAAATGTTGCCGTTTGTAGCGGTTTTTGGGGCACTGTGTGCGCCAAAATTTTAACTTTAAATTACTACCTGTGTACACATAATAAAATGGACGTCCAAATTGCCTCTCACCGCATGGCCTCCCGGTGCAAAATAGTCACTTTGGTGTTTTATTTATTTTAACGTTCTTTGAAAAATTAAATTGTATTTCAACTAACTGCAAAACCAAACATAATATCATAATTTAACAAAAATAGCCTTTCACAAAAATTAATCTAGTTAAGTAGAGAGTAATTTCGTACAGATTAGATACAATAGTCGCACTCATCCTTATGATGCAGTGAGAGCACCAAAACTTAACACGATCAAGTAAATCAATTATATTTTCGGAGTTATGTCAGCAACAATATGCCACGATCTATTGTAGAAATTAACAACCTATTGGCAGTTAATGCAATAAAACCTTATATTAAAATGAGTTTCTTCGCCAGACCATATTAGGTTATTAGTCAGAGGTTATTAGTCACAATATAATAAAACAAACTTCTACGAAACCTGTCAATATCTACAATTGAGTCCATCTTCCTATACTCAAACAGAATTATGGGTTGCTTACGAAATACCTAACAAGAGTTCTTTTAGGCAGATTAGTACCAAATGTAAAATGTTAAAATATAGTGCAGCATGAAATAAACCGATAAGCCGACGTCCGTATCTTAAACATTCCGCATCTCAGACATTTATAAAAATATAACTAAATTCAAAAATACGGGTGTCAAATATCATTCAGTATGAAAGTTTTAGGATATTCGGACGTCCATATTATGTGTAGGTAAATGTAAGGTTAAGAAAACAAGTTTAAAAGTAAAATTACTAGTACCAAGCGCAGTATAAACCATATAATAATGCCCTGCAGACCGAATGACGGTCACGGCGGCCTGCCTCAACGGAGACTAGCCATCGGCGCAGGAAAGGATTATAGTGCCCAAGTGTATGCGCAAGCACAGGTACACTCTCTATTCCCTCACTCTCATAATCCGATAGGACGGTAAACCGACACGACCGGAGAGAGATCAGGCGCAGGACCAACGGCTTTACGTGCTTTCCGAGGCACGGGGGTGATACACCGCCAACTTCCTGACTCAAGGCAGCTATTGAGAATTTCTTGACAGAAAAACTCAATAATTGATTTTTGGCCCGACCCGGGATTCGAACCCAGGACCTCACGATCAGCAGTCGCACTACTACAACCACTAGACCAACGAGGCAGTCATAACCATATATCACCAAATACAAGTAACACGTTGGCAACGGCGACGGAATGGCAACGTCGCATCTCCTAATTTTGTGCGGAAGTCAAATACGGCCATAAATGAAAGTATTCTACAGTAACTCGTCAGACAGCGCTATTATTTTTGCAAAGAAAATTAGCGGAACTACGTAAATATTCAGTACAGCAAGAAAGAAAAATGACGTCCAATTTTTTTTTAGATTTTGACATTTCTGTGATCATTGCGCTAAAGACCGATTTACACTTCGACAAGTACAGTAGCGAGTTTAGTTACAGGGCAGTTGACAGTAAACGGTTAAGTGGGCAGTAGCGTTCAAACAATGTCTTCGTGGCGAGTTTAGTTAAGGACATTAGTTAATAGAGTTCGTTGGAGTGTGACGTTTCAAGACTACAGAATTTTTCTGGTTTTCGTTTAAGATGGCTCTAGGATTACGTCAAGAATTAAATGATCCAGTCAGAGAAGTATTAATGGTTATTGTTAAAGAAGTTTTTAAGTATTTTCATGAGTGCAGCATCTCGAGCTGGTTTAATTTAACAATTTTTTTTTTGCGCCCGAAGCAAATATGGGCAACCCTCCGGAAAGCGGGGGAGGGAGGTTGGGAATGCTCATAGCATACCACGCAGCCGGCTGCGTGGTTATGTGGTGACTTTTACCCACTAAACCCAACCTTTTAGGAACTGGCTTAACGATCTGACTAGAGATCTCTAAGCCGTATACGAACGCGACCCTCCTTGGCAGAAAGGAGGGCGCAGAGATTTTACAATTTGAACTCCTACTATTATATAAACATTCGTGTTGTAAATACTCCTGTACAAATTTATACGTGATATCCTTCGTCCATTTTATTATTAAAACCCAATATTAAACGTATAAATATTCAATAAACAGTATCGTACAAATTTTGTGGCGAGTTTAATTATAAAAGTACAATTGTACGTTTTGGCGCGCAAACGTTGCGTCGTGTCAACTTATGCACTAAACTAAACTCACTCGTTTACACGAACGGCGAGTTTAGTTGCGGGAGGGCAGTACTTCGCACTTAACTCGCCGAAAAATAGCTCGGCCGGCTATCCCGTTCAACTTAATTGTTAACTTGCTACTTAACTCGCTTATTGGCGTTCAAATGAGGTTCAAACTTAACTCGCCAGGTTCGCAAGTTAACTCGCTACTGTACTTGTCGAAGTGTAAATCGGTCTTAAGTCTTTGACATCCGTATATTGGACGTCGTAAGCAGGTTGAAGCCACATTATATTAGATTCGTATTCGTAAAAGTAGTATTCGTTGCATCACTGATATATATATATATATATATATATATATATATATATATATATTATATATATATATATATATAGATATAGATATAGATAATAAAATGTGGAGGGGCTTATGAATTATATAGCAACAAACTTATAAACTTATAAATAAAATTTTGAAAACGACTTTATATAATATATCTGGATATAAGAGTCCACACAATCATATGAACAAAAAAAATCAACAAAAATAATGCCTTCGGATCTGAATCTGTCTTATAGAGACCGCGGTGAAGACGTATTATCCTCGCCTGCTCTGACTTGTCGATTTAAAATAGATCGTGTCAACAATACAACAATAACGAGCTTTTTATTGTGCAATAGTGGATCAATAAACGACTTTTATAATCCCGGACAGGCAGCATTGCTTAGCAGCCATCTGCAATGAATACTTCCTTCGTTGCAGGAAACATATTTTACGTCAAGGTCAAAATAACAGACATCTTGCAACTCCTCACGTATCATTTATCAGCATAGAAAATGACAACGTAAAAACAAAATAATGCCGATAGCAGTAGCTTCTTAATAAATTTATCAAACTACACCTTGAAATATTTTATGAAGTTTGTTCGACCTTCGCCTTTAGGTAGGTGACGCTTCTCTGTAATGTTTGCCTTATTCAACGTGACGTTTTATACACATTAAAGCAAACATACATACTAAAAAATTTGCTTTAACGATACTTCGATAAAAGCCTAGAAATATTCTCTTAACTGGACAATTTAAATTTCTTTGCTTTAGATAAGACTGTGTTGGAAACTAACAAGGTTATTGCAGTTAGTGCCAAAGCAATATAACTTGATATCAATAAAATTAATGAGGTCATTACGTAGCTACATTCTGATTAAAGCAAGTCATTAAAAAGTAGTCGATGCGCAACGGAATAATTACCTACTGCTTAAGAATGTTTATGGCATTAAAATGTCTGCTGTTGCATCTATATCCAAGATGCATTGTTTGAATGTGCAAGTGTATGAAGTCGCGATATTGGCTCACGGTAGCGGGTGCTGTGTGCGGGGACTGCTAGCATAGATTACACTGGTACACTGCTAGTATAACGCCAGCCGTGACGCCGAGCGCCGCGACGCTAAACCTTCTCTAACTGTTAAAAACAAACTTCACACTAAGCATTATCTCGCCACGATAACAACGCTATATCAGTTCGTGATAATTCAGCAGAGTGATAACAGATAAAAACGAAGTGGTCGACGCCTGTCTCACTGTGCTCCTACCTATTATGTAAAAGTTGTACAATTAAAACTCCTTGCATGTGTAGTTATGACAACGATGGCAGGTCCACGGAAGATTATTTCTATTTATGATTACCCGGAACACCTAAATCCGTTCCGAGAAGAAGACAACCACAACAAGATTAGGTTCTGGACTATCGGGCGTAAACTCAGTCGTTCCAACAGTATCACTTTTAAGGACCTCAAGAACTCATGGTAAGTACAATTTATATTAAACAAAGTAGAAAGATCAATATTAATTCGCTAAAAAGATTGTACATAGAGTGTTAAATAGAGTAACGCAATAAGTTAATGTTTCCAAATCATAATTTTTCTTCAATAATCCGGGAATGAACTGCGGTTTGTTTGCGGTCGTGCGGGCAACCACACGTCATAAAGATCGGTCGGTCAAAGTGCTCATTCAGGGAAGTTTTCTTTGTTTATTGTATAAGGTTAATACAATGACATCAAAATAAAAACAAAATACCGTAACATCCGCTTATAATATTCTGTATTCAGAATTCCATGCGTCATCCCTACCATTACACATGTTGCTCTTTAATTACAATGCCATTGCATATTGATTGATTTCATATGATAGTGATATTTCCTCCATTAAAACATGAATTGAACTATATTCATATTAAGTAGAATTCAAATACAAATAATATAAACCAATAATTCTAAAGTAATCAAATGAATCGCAACATACAAAAAATTACAGTAAAATACATTTCCTTCACTCTTTTGAAGGTGTGTACGAGTAAACAAGTCAATTGAAGTTATCATATTACGTACTAAAATTAAAGGCACGTTAATCTAAAATCAACCCTAAGACCGATGATAAAAATTACCAATAGGTGCTGGTACATTTAAATACATGATAGCTATGAATAATTATGTCTATTCTAAACTAGTAAAATAGAAAAAGATATTGAGTATGATTAAAACTACTTTTACGGATTTTATCGCGTTTATTTTTACTTTTTATTTTTAATTCCCGACGTTTCGGGCGCTTTCCAGCACCCATGGTCACGGGGGACTGAGATGACTGACGTCCCGATGTCATTGTTAAACCCGGAGTACCTTCAGCTTTTTTTAATTATTGTTTATGGTCCGATCTATGCAAAATGAACTGACTATGTCCTGAGGTCTTGCAGTGGTATGCTTGGGTTTAGTTTTAATTTTATTGATTATAGGATCCCAAGCAGGTGGTAGTACCCAGCCTCCTTCTCTATTGAAATTAGGATGTTTTTTAATTTCAATAGCCTCACGTATCATCCTTGGTAGGAATCGGTGTTCTTTCGCGAGGATTTGTGGTCTATCAAATCTGATGTAATGGTTGGGGCCGTCTAGGATATGATCACAAACTGCAGACTTCCCGGAACGTTGATGCTTCACATCAGCTATATGTGCTTTTACGCGGGTCCTAATTGAGTCAGTTCCTACCATCCGTCAAGTGTCATATTCCTCTACAAGATGCAGGAGTGTACAAGCTTGATTGTGAATGTGGTCTCTCTTATATAGGACAAACCAAAAGATCAATTAGGACCCGCGTAAAAGAACATATAGCTGATGTGAAGCATCAACGTTCCGGGAAGTCTGCAGTTTGTGATCATATCCTAGACGGCCCCAACCATTACATCAGATTTGATAGACCACAAATCCTCGCGAAAGAACACCGATTCCTACCAAGGATGATACGTGAGGCTATTGAAATTAAAAAAACATCCTAATTTCAATAGAGAAGGAGGCTGGGTACTACCACCTGCTTGAGATCCTATAATCAATAAAATTAAAACTAAACCCAAGCATACCACTGCAAGACCTCAGGACATAGTCAGTTCATTTTGCATAGATCGGACCATAAACAATAATTAAAAAAGCTGAAGGTACTCCGGGTTTAACAATGACATCGGGACGTCAGTCATCTCAGTCCCCCGTGACCATGGGTGCTGGAAAGCGCCCGAAACGTCGGGAATTAAAAATAAAAAGTAAAAATAAACGCGATAAAATCCGTAAAAGTAGTTTTAATCATGTGCAATGTTCGCGTAAATATAAGAAATCATTAAGATATTGAGTAGAGAAAGTTTTTTTTAACTTTATTTTATTGAAGTAAGGATGACAATAAGTGGAATTCACAGTCGATACAATGGTTATTGCTGTGGCCTATAGATACGTTATCGTCTCTAAGGACTGAGATTGTCTCATTACCAACAATTACTGCTTAAACCAATTTTAAACGAGGTAGAGCCATGCTGCAGCTATATTACGGCTGTCGCACGGAGGGGTCGTCTCGACCACGCTCTTACAAAATACCAGCGTAAAATAGCAGCTTAATGCTGCTGTGGTTCGTATGGCGAATATAGAGAACCGGAAACCCATTTTACTGGAAACGAGGCATTACATTTTAATCCTCAGTGGTAACAACGCGTCTCCATATTATTTCTTAATTGAGGATAAATGTACATTGTCTATGAGTCCCAGTAACCACTTACCATCAGGCGGACTGTGCGCTCGTTTGTCACTCATATTCTATGAAGAATACCAGTAAAAAGTCTCTAGTTCTCTACAGCGTAATATTTCTGGTTACATATTATGCATAAGATTTTAAAGACAGCATACCTATTTATTGAATCCTTATCCCATTTTTGAATGTCAGCTAAACTTAATATTTGTGTAAAACAAATTGGCTTAGGGAGTTATTCATAGATCTTACTATTAATAATGAAACTAATAGGTTCGGCACCGCTTTAGCTGCGGGAATGTTAGGACAACATTGTACCTCTCGTTAGTACAAATTACAGCGGTATAGTCTTATAAATATTATACGGTTACTTCCCGAAAAATTCCGTACCTACCATTGTTACTGTGTTATAAGGATTATTATGGCTTACAATGCCTGTTTGCCTTTAAATATAAAGTTAATAGAACACTTTGTTCATTCATTATCCGGTTATCAAAAGTCCACTGTTGGACATAAGCCTCCCGATAGATTGCTTAATGGGGGTGATAATGGCTATGATTGCCACGGTTGGCAGGCGGATTGGCAACTACAGCTTTCTAATAATTTGCGTTATTATTAGACAGATGCTGCTGCTTACCTCGTGATTAACTATCCTCTGTCGCATCTTCGACCCTCATGGAATGATAAGGGTAATGGATTCTCTTACGTCTGTTCAACACGGTGACGTACCGTTTACAGGCATTTAAAGTTTAAACAATAATGCATTCTCAGTCTACTTTTGATATTAGCTGTTTCCCCTCTCTCCCTCTCTCTCTCTCGCGCTCTCCCTCTATCTATCTATTTATCTATCTATCTATCTATCTATCTATATATATATATATATATATATAGATATATATGAGAGAGAGAGAGAGAGAATAGTTTAAATCGTTGACATCAATTTAACCTATCATTCTACTCATAATAAAGAATATTTTAAAGTAATTGCGTTAGTACGCCGCGTACGTAGCGTAAATCGTAATAGCATTATTACTATTTCTGTGGTAACTACATAGAAAACAATAAAAAGAAAACATATTTCACACGCCGTAAAAGTGAAACCTTCAGAAATTTTAACTTCGAAAGAATGAGACGAATGCAGAATATCAGGAGTAGGATAATTGTAGGGTTTGTTTATTATATTATTACTGCAAACAGTACAAAAAGTACCTATATTACTGCTATTCGTGTATACAATCACCAGCTATTAAACAATTAAATGGAAATATGTTTTAAACAAAATTAAAGAAATTGTTAACTGAAAATGCTTTTTACAATCTCAATGAGTTTTTAAATAAAATTAATGTTAGTAAGTAGCAAATTTTAATGTTTTTTTTTTAATTGTTGCGTATCCGAAATGGGTAAACTGTTGAGCCTAAAACTATATGTTTTTGTACTGAGATCATATTGTACACAGTTATGCAATAAATGTATCTTTATCTTTACTAAGTTTATAAATTATTTTACACTTTATTCTACATAATATATTACATTAGGTATATATTACACAGACTCCAAGTTTTCAATATCATCATCGTAAGAACTTAAATATTTTCTAATCAATAAATTTCGTCTTCAACCCTTACTGCTCATAGATCACATGCATATCTCATTAGGAATATAGGAAACACTGGTGGAGAAAAAGGGTTGTTTGTAAAGTATTTATACTTTTTTTAAGCATGTATATGTTTATTCATGTATTTATTACTTAAATAATAGCACAAAACAACTTATAAATCAATAACATGCAAAGTACAGTATTCCATCTCATTCTCTCGTGTCACTTTTTTGCTTTATCAAGTTTCAAATGACAACGATTCTAAAGAAGTTTCCAATAAAAAAATTAAAAAAGCAAATGTACTAAGACGTTGCGATCTGTGGTAAGTAGTAATTTATTTAGTCTGTGTCTATGGCATGTGTTACTCGCAGGCACTTACGTCTTTATTTCATTAGTTCCGATTAGTTCCAAAAATCTCGAAAACCGCTAATATCGTTCTTGTCCATAAAAAAGAAAATGGTAGAGTCACGCTGCTGCTACATTATGGTTGTAGCACGATTGAGTCGGCTTGGTCGGTGTACGACCACTCTCTTATGGACGACACACACGGTCAGTTCAACTGATCATTCCAAATGATCAGTTCAAACTAGGACTGTTTATATTTTTTTAAATATTGGATTTTCGATATATCGATAAATAAATTTAGATATAAAACTCCGATATTGATATATTTATAATTATAAGTACATATATCGAAATACGATAGTTCAAAAAATACGTGTGCTGTACCAGTTAAACTGTAATATTGGTACAGTAATATATGTTATCGTGAATGTTTTACAGACTTATGCTATAAGCAACATAGGTGTAAACTGAATTTTATTAGTGAATGTACCATATTTGAATTAATTGATTTAATAATTAAATCAAATTATTCAAAACTTCTTAAAAATAATTCATAATAAAATTGATATAATTTTTAATAGACGGCAATCCGCTCTCTTTACTGCTAAGACGCCATGTAGTGACAAGTAGGAAACGGAAGTGAACTTGACAGTTTAAATAACTATTGCTATATTATTTTTAATAGTATTCTATTATTATTTCAATATTGTAAAGAAAGCTTGTTTTACTAAAAATCTTCTTTAAAACAAAAATTATGGGTATTTTACTAAACACGATACCTACTTAAATAAAACTTCTTTTGTTTTT